CATTCTCTTTCTTTCTTTCCAGTAACTCTCAGCTATAAGAAGCTATGGGGATGGCCTCAACTTCCTAGTCATCTAACAGACTGAGATTAAAACTCAGATTTTAAAAAATTAATATCATAATTTCTGAACATAGTTTGGGTCAGAGTGAAACAGAAGAACTCTCACAATGAATTTAAATTGCCCTATTATCTTAGCATAATGCAAGGCACCAAGTTTTATTGTGAAGGGCAATAGACCAAAGCCCCAAATATACTGTTCCTGCAAGATACACTTTGTAACTAAACGTATTCTACCTAAACTAAAGAAAGAGATTTCTGCCACTAACTTAAAAGCGACAGTACGTTTATGCAAGCCTAAGCTGTTAGACCAGATAAGGAAGAGTTAAAGTATATTCCATTGAGGACAGCCCTAACAATTGTTCAGATTACACAAAGAATATTTTGATATCTATCTACCTGACAAAAGGACAAATTAAGGTGTCTCAACACTCACTGCTTTCTCAAAAATAGCTGTCCTAATCATGAAATGCTGTGTATCATGGAGATATATAGACCAGACATTCCTGATGAGTTATACAAGGTGTAATAAACATTTTCAATCAAAACTCACAGGGGCTTTAAGGTAAATCTCATTCCCACTTATCATATGCATGTTCCTCACACATTCTACACTAAACAATAAGAACATCCTGACCAAGACTTCACATCAATTAACAAAGAAGAATAAAAAGAAAGGTCAAAGAAATTACAAAAAGCAATAATGAGAAATAATAGCTAGATCTGGGTTTAAACTGACCTCTTAAAATAAGACATATCTGATTGCTTAGCAATTCTAATCACCTTGATTTCCCCTTATGCTAACCTCATCTTTCTTTGATTAAATTCACCTGATTTTATATCAGAAGAATAAAAATAAAAGTAATTGCTCATTTCCTCTAAAATATCTGTTGTTTTATTTCTTCAGCTCTTTCTTTTTCCTGCACAAACAGGTGGAATGCAATAAATGCGAGTAAACCTTACAGTGTGTAAGGATAAGGTGCCCTCTAGAGGCTACAAATAAACCAGACATTTCCAGAACATTTTTCAATCTAAGTAGAATTCATTAATATTTTAATTGCAGGCAAAAATGCCTTCATTCTGGGAAATTCTTGACTTGTTTTATACTCTGAGCTCCTAATCACATTCAAATAAAAATAAGGCTGAAATTCCTAGCAAGTATGGAATAGTTGCTGCATGAAAAGCTCATTTACACTCACACACACCCCTCTACCCTTCACATATATTTATGTATGTATATATATATGTTTCTATGTATGGAGGAGGATGAGGAGGAAAACACCTCTCTCTCCTAACTATTTCAGCTGTTCTGTATAGTTTTCTGAGTCCTGATTGTTCCTTTTTCCAAGGAAGAGAGTGCGCCCAAGCCAGAGCATCTGACTTCCTAACAGTAGCTTCTGTCAGCAGGCCAGCCACTGCCTTTTAAGGGAGGCCAGGACTTCATGACCTTCTGAAAGAACCGTTCATATTGGGTAACACGACATGAAAAGTACTGTTCCTTCAGGTTTGTTTTGTTATCAGATCTTGCATATGTTACTTTTTTGATACACTAATGGATCTTTATTTGTAGGATTTTATGATTACAAGAAGATTACTTTTACCACTTTTCCTTTTTATTTCATCAATTTTATGACCAAAAAAAAAAAAAGTGAGAATTTTGGTCATATGCAATTTTTCCTTTCTCCTGTAAGTGCAAACAACTGGTACTGGTAGAGCAGCTTGTAAGCTACGGAATCCATTTGCCTGCTATAAAAGAAGATCATGTTATATAGTCTGACTCATAAATTGATCACACTTTATACTAAAACTAATTAAGAGAGGTTTCTCAATTTGGTCTCAGTACCCTAGTAAATGTTTATGGCCTCTAGCTTCAGAATGGCTTGTGTGCAACCAGTGTAGAGATAGTATAGATCAAGTCTGTGTTCATACAGTCAACCAGATAGATGCTCTCTGAGGGCTGCTGGGAAAAGACAGGCTTCTGGAAAAAGGAAAAATGTGACTGAGATGTTGAACTTGAATTAAGTGACCCTACGTTAAAGAACTGAAAACAAAACCTCAGGGAAAAGAATCCCTGAAGAATGTGGGTTGAGTGTGTTGCTGGGGCAGACTGGATTTTTTTTTTCCTCTTCTTTAAATGAATCAAAATCCCCATATTTGTAATGAGGTTCCTGCAAAGCTAGCTTAATACCAGATTGGGTATGCAGATCCTCTTTCCAGTATGCACGCCTGTAATAAGATGTAGCTCTTTGGATTCTTGCACATATATGACGTACCCCTGCAAGCTCAGGACAATTGTGAGCATTCATTTTGTACAGAAATTCCCAGATTTGTACACTATGCTCTCAGAAACATAAAATGCTGTAAAAAAATTTACATGCATCCATAAACAAATCCATCAGAGCTCAGGAACATAAATGTAGGCTATTCTAAGCAGACTTGACCTAAAATGTTTGCAGGATATAAGAAACATACTTATCTTAGCCACACCCAAACTATTTATCTTTACTGGCTTACGGAGACATGCAGTGTATTTAAGGCAAAGACTTGCATGAACTATGCACACAACCAGAAAGCATTAAGCTAAAAATAATATACATTGACTTTAAAAGCAGATTTTGGATATGAAACAGGCTCCAAGATTTACTGTACAACCCTTTTAGCAAGTAAGCAAGCTACAGATACATCATGATCATAATTAATCCTTTGAGCTTCCGTAGTGCCTCTTATCCCATGATCTCAAAATTCCTTAGTGGCACTAATCGATTAAAGATGAAAGCATTCTTTCGAGATAGGCTACGGATATAAAAATCATTTCACACACTGAAATCAAGCAATCTCTTGTACAACAGTTGTTGCCATGCACGACAATTGCTCAAAATACCTTAGAGAAGAAAAGAAGGGTCTCATATCCAGTAAAATTTTAATGGTATTTAGTTGGACAAATGGTAGTTATGCTTCTCTTCATACTTAAAAAAAAAAAAAAAAAAAAAAGCTAATGGCAGTCTGAGGAAGAAAACTTCCACCAGGATCAGCTAACTAAATTCCCCACTTAAAATTCTCAGAATACTTCTCTACAGAGTGAAATAAAAAATTGTTATCTAAAAGTCAAATACCTTAGGTCCTCGCTGCCTGGTGCATTTTCCCATTAGTTTTTCATCATCTATTTCACACTGCTCCAGAAGATCCAAAATGTCCTCCTCCTAGAAATGGGAATTTCACTACAATTAATTCAAAGCAGGACAGATCCTATCCTTCCAAAGTTCAAGCACCAACTGCTAGGAATTTGAAATTACTTTGATTACTAATTCCTGAAATAAGACTATGAACCTCTCCACAGGAGGATATAAAAGTATTTCTTCTGATGCATGCATCTCTGCTTGCAATCAACATGAAATTGAAAGTTAAAATCATTAACATTTATTAAACATAGAAGTCTGAAGAAAGGGTTGAACAAAGATTCCTGTAAAACTGCTGAATGATGCCAACTAGAAAGATGGAAAATTATTTCTCAGATTTCAAATTAAGTCACATTTGTTGGTTATTTTAAATGTAGCCATTTTCCTACTGTTTATATCTGACTAGATAAGTAGGCAATCAGGCAGAGTTTTTGGATGTCTTAAAGTAGTGGAGCTGGTTTTATGATATCTCTCATTCCAGTCCATACAAGTGGATGAATAGGCTGGGGACATTACTGGAGGAAGAAGGAGGCAATTACCAGCTCAAAAGCAGTTTCTGCCAACCTCTGGTTTGGCCAGGGGTAAGGCTGAGGATCAGGGAAATGGTAAAGTAGCTTAAAGCCATCTAGCCTGTCTCCACCCTGGGTCCACTGCAGTTCATCCAGATTCAAGGATCTGGCCCACAAGCTGCACAAAGAATAATAATAAAATGATGGAAACATTATCAAATGCTATTTATTAGCCATCACACATGATTATCGTGAAACTAATCCACAAGGTCATGAATTCCAAGATAAAAAACTTCTACAGCCAATACTTCTTGTGCTTCAGTACCTTCATTCTTTTTAAAGGGTTATTCATTTCCCGCTGTAGCGAAGCTGCTCTCCCAGCAAGAAAAGTTTGGAAAGCAGTGGCTAACAAACTCTCATACTTTTCAAGTAACGTCTTATCATCAGGAGGGTAAATTCGCCTAAAATAGGGGAAAAAAATTGAGTTTAAGATAGAAGCTGAGCTACTTACCACACTAGGAACAAAAGTAATGCAGATAATTCAGAGTCTCTTCTATAATGCATATGCATCCCATCTATAATAATTGTATAATATCATATCATAAAACATATACTCTGAACATTGGTCTCTAAATCTAATTTTAACTCAGTGAACACATTCGTGTTTAAACCAGCAATTAGCCAGTCAAAAGAAATACCATGCAGGTCATTCCAGAGATATACCAAAACTCAGTTTTCCAGTACTCTGCAATTTCAGTGGGTGTGAATGATGCATGCAGGTGTGAATGATTCATGAAATATTAACAAAATATTGCATGTAAAATTCAGAGCCACAAAATAATTTGTATTAGCAATAAAAGGACACAAACCTGAAAATCTGAACAATTGCTTTGAGTTAATGGGCATGATGTAAATTAAAGACTGAATATGTACTGCACTTGAATGCTAAATCCTCCAAAATAATGAACAGGAAGAAATAGATAGTATAAGAAAAAAAAAATTCTGGTACACAGCTGTACAGGGTGACTCCTTGAAAAGGTATCTTTCATGATGATTTTGTTGCAATGAGAAAAGGATGGTTATGATCCCATTAGACTCCAGGCAGTTCTACAGCAAACTGAAGATGGTTCCAGTTTGCATAAAATACCTGTAGGAGCTCTAATCTAGTTGCATTCAACACTTCTTAATGGTGTTGATTCTACTGCTGAAAAAGTGCCGTAGAACAACACTTTAAAGAAAGGATATTCATTTTAATATATGTAGAAATACACTGCAGCTAAAGGCCATTTCAAAGTCATATACATCCTTTTCAGTTCCTCATGAATTCACAAATGCTTACCACCCCAGGACTCCTACTGGAATCAGTGGGCTAGTTGTGCTTGCAGGCAGACACTTGACTAAGCCAATTGCTGAACTTGACATCCATAGATTAAATCAAAGCCTGCTGAGGTTGATTGAGGTTTCTCTGGATTTTCATTCAGAAGGCAATATTAATCCATGCAGCAATACTAGCACCCAAAATTTCCATAATTCTATGACAATGCCTGACAGAAGCTAGTCCTGCTCTGCAGGAGAACATCACAAAGAGAAATACTGCATAATGCTCAGATAAAATTTCTCTGCATCTCTAGCCAAGATTCCTTTACTTCTCAGGCTCTGCTGATTCTTCAGCCTTTTTGCAAACACATGGTAATAAGAAAACACAAAGCTGTTCTGCCCTTTTGCATGTGCACATTCCTCATGAAATGACTCTTCACTTTTTCCTGAGAAAAAAATATTTTTGTATTTTTATTGATTTACATTAACCAAAAAGCTAAATAAAGAGAACATTTGGCTCATTTTCAGTCAAGAACTGAATAAGCAACCTAAAATGTGATCAGTTAAAAAGTTAGACTTGAAAGTTATCGAAAAAGCAAAACATATTACAGCATCATGATGTTTCTCTTTCTTATAGTCTAAGTAGCTTGAAAATAACTGCTTCATTGTGGGGTTGTTGGGTTTTTTTTCTGATGTACTAGTTCAGCTCCACGTATGTCAAGAAAGGATGTAATTAAAACTAGGAATGCTATAAAGAAAGGCTTTTTGTAAGCAAAATGTTAATTCATCAAAAAGGAAAATTTCACAGAAATATCTATCTTTTTAAATGAGAACTTTATTAGGAATTATAGAACATCTGCTCAAAAAAGCAGAGATGAAGAACAGCAATAAAGGCATTCTGACTAATTCAGAATAAAAGATGTGAACCCAGACCTCCCACATCCTGGATGAATGTTATAGAGTGGCCAAATGCTCCCATCATCTCTTCCTAGCCGTACTCTTCTCCCTTTCACCAAATATTCATAGGCCTTGCTTTCACTTCTCATTGAAGCAAATATCAAGAAAGAATAATAATAATAAAAATATCATAAAACAAAATTCTTGTTTTCTGGCCAATGCCTATTATAACCAACAAGTTAAAACTTTCTTTGAACGTATTTTACCAAGAAATCTGAAGATACTTACGTTTAAGCCTACTAAGATCCAAAACCAAAGTGCAGAAAAATGCATATAGTATTTCAAATGCCATTCTATCAAAAATGGTGGAAGCACCAACAAAGTTTCTGAAATTTTGGCAAGCCTCATCGTAGATAACATTCAGATTTGATTTTTTATAGGGGAATACTCAGATTTGATTTTTTTATAGGGGAATACTCGCACCCCTATATTGCCCCCCCTAGAGATAAGAATCATCATGTGATTACAGAACAGGTCCATAATGACAGTCATGGTTCTTTGTACACTGAATGCGAACAATCATGTCTTTCAAGCAAATGTCTTGCACAAACACTGGAGTGATTGGTGTCATATAAATTCCTAAGTGCAAGCAAAAATTTGGAATCAAAAAAATAACGATCTGAAAAAAAAATTACTATCTGGTGTACATGTATGTATTTTCTATAAATGCCTACACATTTTTGGCATAAAATTATAATCTACCATAAATACTTGTTTCTATTATTCCTAAAGAATGCATTGAATACTTCCTACTAATGCAGTCAAAAATAGTTACCTGTAGTTCCCCATGTGTCTGTTTTCATGCTCCTCTTTGGAAATCTGTTTACGTACTTGTGCAAGTCTTTCCTTCTACAAATCAAGAAAAAAAGACAATTAAAACAAAGGGAGCATAAGGCATGGGCAAGAAACAGCACATTTTTTCCTTCCTACCAGTTCTTCTTTTCTCCTTTCCAGTGTGTGGCGCTGCTTCTCCCAGTCTGAGGAACCTGGCAACAGTTTTTTCATTGAACCTTGACCATACAATCTTTTTTGAGCCTCAGCCTTCTGTTGAGCTAAATTTCTCCTTTTATCACTTGTCCTGAAAGACAGATGATATTAAGATATGTCAATCCAATGCAGCTGAGATGAGATGCACTTTCATCTCAAGTATATCATCTGTATTTTTCAGTCAGTCATGTGCAGCTTAGGATATAAAATCAGAACTGAAACACTCATTAAGAATTTTTTTAAAATATTAACTTTTATGGCTATAAAATTTTCACACTTTAAGGTGTACTGTAATGACTGTGTACTATAATTTAATGTACAAACATGGTTGTATCTATTTTCCTGAAGTGTCGATTTTCTCCAACATATCCAAACTACAACGTTTTCCTGTAGAGGGGTATGGCTTTTGACTGTATGTTCAACTATCACCAAAGCAAATTTCCTGTGTGCCCACATGCCCATGACTGCACTCATATCTCCACTTTGAGACCTGTTTGAAAAATCATTTTAAAAAAAAAGTACGAAAGTTACTATTACCACTCATTTTTTGCAAGCACATGAGCAAGAATAAAAATTAAATTTGGGTTAATTTCAATAGCAAAGCTGACAGCAAGGGAAACATTTACATTTTGAAAATATGAACGTGGGAAAAAAAGGTTTTCGTTTTCTCCTAGTCCAGTTCAAATTAAAAAAAAAAAGAAAAATCAAAGCAACAGAAAGAGAGCCAGGCTGAAGAAAAGAGGACAAGTTTACCGTATGTTGAGAAGCTTTAATGCATTTAGCAGAACACCTTTTTTTACATCATAGTCTATTTTTTGATCAGTTCCAAAGCTTGGGGCACGATTAATCTGAAAAAATGAGATACAGAAGACTCAGGAATGTTCATCTTCACTGGGAACACATCTATTGTAACAGGCTTCAGAGAAACCATTCTTTCAAATATAGCAGAGATTAAGAGAATACATGTTGAGAAGCTCATTTCTGTTTGTATTTTTAAATAAATAGAGCTCTCAGTATCACAGATACTGGGAGCCAGGAGATGTACCTTTCAGCCACCAAGTTATCCAGACACTTACAATGAATGCCATTCAAGTACTGGCACAGTAAATCCAGTCTAATCTATTCTCGGTTGCTGCAACCAGAAAATTTACCATCCAAAGTGCTGTTAAACACATTAGAACAGACTATGTGCCATGCTGTAGTAGTCCAGCACAGGAAGAGTTAAACTCGTTCCCAGTCTGCAAGCAACTTTGACTACTTCTCTAAAAAGTAACAACTATATAAGGACAGAAAGAGGCTCTAATTCAAGGTCTTCTCAAGTATATTTACATAACTATTCAGATACACTTTACAGCAACACCTAGAGATCTAAGTTATTAAATCAGTACATGTGTGAAAACATAAAGTAATTAACAGTCTCAGTAACAAAAAGCGTATAAGCTAAGTACAAGATAAGAGATTAAAAATGTTACCATAAATATAGAGGAACAAGGGAAATACAACTGGGAATCAGTGAGACTAAATCACACACTTAAAAACCAGGAGTCTTAACCAACATCCATATAACCCCTGCCAAGCTTTGGAGCCCCTGCAGAAGAACGTCAGCTTTTGGAAATCTTTGAGGAGGGATAATGAAGTAGCTGCATCAACATTTCTAGGAACACCTTCCAGGCTGGTAGAAAAGCTTATACAGGAGCAATGGGTGCTAATGAGAGGCAGGAATCTCACCTTGATAGTGAATGAGCAGTGCTGGTTACAGAAGGGACAGACACTAAAGAGCTTCAGAAGTGAAAACTATTACCTTGTGCCCCATGCAAATAAGAAGTGGGATACAGAGACAGTTAGTATGTTCAAAGCAGAGGGCAAAACCAGTTCATTAAAATTGTGTTTTAACACTTTTGTTACATTAGAGCATCATAGAGCCTCTACAGTTGTGGGACAAAGAACTATCCTGGCTGGTGAGCCACCAACTGTCCTGTTGCTGAATCCCAGCTGCCCCACCACTTATGCTTATAGCCGAAGGGCATCTTGGCTTTGAGAATCAGCTTGTTTGCTGGTTTTGCAAACAGCCTGGCAAAGTGAGCAATAAGATCTGATGCTGAAAGAAAAAGCATGAAAATTCAGCAAAAATGATGAAAAAGTGTACACATATTCTTTTTTGGAAGACTTTCATCCAAATATTTAATTGACCAACCTCCTTAGACTGACCTGTTCATCTCCTATCACATCACAAAGGCTGATTTTTTTTTCTCTACTGTGATAGTACATTTATTGACATTAATTTTTTTTAAAATGTTCCACTTTCAGCTAAGCAAACATGTAAACATTCAGAGAAACGAACACAAGGATTAGAACCCAGTTCTCCAACATTTCATTAGAGAATACTCGCAGTTGACAAGACCACAGACACATTGCATCTCATTTTCAACATGAAGTTTAAACAAAACACTTTAACTAGAGCTGCATTGGTTAAATACAGCTGATAACTGAAATAAGTTGGAAATATTCTGATTCTGAGATATCATATTGTCTAATCCAGGAAGGATTTATGTGTGTTTAAAAACATACTCATGAAGATCCAATACACAGCCTTATGCTTCAGTCCAGCAAATACCTAAGTACACAAGAAGCTCACTGGACTGAAAACAGAGACATAAAATCAAGTCCCAACTCCTTATTCAGGAGAAATGTTAGGTATTGAAGAAAACTATATTCTGTACCATGTATTAATTTTTTTTACTCCATATGAACGTGTAGCAAATAACAATATTCTACTTTGAAATAATGTTTTTGCATGCATTAAAACCAGGTGAAGAGACAGAAATACATTTATTAAAACTTCCAACAAATTAATTTCTAATTTTTTATGTGCACCAGGTCCTTAAATCCAGTGAGGCTGCAGTTAGATAGGAGGACTTATTTGGAACATGTAAAATGCTGTGGTGGTCCAGTACTGAATTCCTAGCGATGCACAGACACGTGCTTACACAGCACTGAAGCATCCAACTTGAGAGCATACAAAAGTGCACACTGTTGTATTTATATTTGGTTTAGGTACTTCCTAGATTTACAACAATTTGAAGGATAATATTGGGCATAAATTCTGCATTAATAAAGACACTATAAATGTGTTACTTATATAAGCACCAGTGAGAATTAACACTATGAAAAGTGTAAAATAATTTAAATAACAGTTTCTCTCCTACAGAGTGAATTTTGCCAAAAATCTACATCTGGCACTTCTGAAGAAACAAAACCATAGTGACTGTGTTTATTAAGCAGAAAATTAAAGTGGGGGTAGGAAAGATGTAAGAAGGCATTTGAAATGCCATTATGAAGCAAAATGCTATTATGAGACATCAGACAATCACTCCACAATGAGGTTTCTGTCACTGTAATGCAGTCATTTAAGAGGCTGAAAAGCTACAGCATTCATAGTTAAAACTAGAGCACTGCTGTATCACCCGCATCCTCAATTTTTTTGACATACCATTCATGACTAGTGTTTGAGATCCCAAGCCTACTGTGACCTCAATCGTGAAGAGTAACCAGAGGGGCAGTAAAAACACCAATCCAGTTCTGGATAGCTATTGCAAATGTGGCTTGGTGCAATATGTCTCAGGTAGCAGTAGATGCAGATCCAGTACAAATAAAATCCAAGCAACTGGGTATATCAGAAAGTTAATACATAGAAAGCACGTGTGAATTTAAAGTTCATTAGCTATTCCATACTGTCTATGTGTATACTTCAATTGCCTCTTGATTAAGTACAACTATGTGCAAGGATGCTTCACTAATAAACTTTTCTCTTTAACCCTCTTCATCCATTCCATGCATCTCCCTTCTCAAACGGAAATTTCAACAGGCAGTCTTAACAGTTGACCTTAAATGTCAGCTAAAAAATTTACTTATTACTAAGCGTAGCTGGAGTTATGGGAGGTATAAAAATGGGGAATATCTTCATCCAGCATTGCTATCCAAAACTTCATAATCTGAACCCACTGCATAAGTCTCTGATGTGCAAAACCACCCACACTCTTGACATAAATATGCAAGAAATCATAATTAAGACACAAAACAAAGGGTTTAATCCACAAATAACGTTTTTAGAGCAGAAAAACCCTCTTCAATGCCAGGAAGAAGAAGAAGAAGAAAAAAAAAAAAAAAAAAAAAAAAAAACAAGCAGCCGATAATCTAATCTCCAGAGCATAGAGATAATATGCTCCCTGCAAAGAGCACAACTAACTAAACTGGCTACCACAACATTTTACAGTCTCACCACACAATACCTTTTCAAGGCTCCACTCACTTGTTCTCAGAGGTGACTAATGCCTTTTTCCTTAACAGTGTCTTCATATTATAGATTACCTGGGACCTCACTTGAAGGAACAAAATACCTGTGTGCTTGATCTAGCTGAATACCTTCCATGATCAGCACTACTCTTAAACTAGCAGCTATCTGGTTGAATCTACTCATGATGAATTTTATAACACTCATTCTGGAGATATGGCAGTGTCGTGCATTAGGTTTCTTTGGACAAACTATCTTCAAAACTTCAAATTTTCTAATCTGTTGTAGACAGCAATGCACAGAAAAGAAAAACGGCTTAATAAAAAAATACAGTATTTTTCTATATAGACTCCTGGACATAATGTTTCTCACATCTATTATTTTCACAATATCATAGTTTTATCTCCCAAATATCTGCTTTGTTAGTGATGATACGTTAGCTTCTTCACTTTCTATGACTTTTCAATAGCTATAGAACTTTTTTAGAAGTTTTTAATTCCTCCAATTGAAATCTTCAATGTTGGTTTCATAATTAAAATTTCACTGACTATAGCACACAAACAATTAATCAAACTGCTTGTAAGCACAGTAGTTGTGTAACAGTGTATTTCATAATTACATACTTGTCAGAAGAGGACCTTATATCTGTAATGCTTAAATTAAGCAGCATAAGTTGAAGTACCTCCTGTGAAGGCTCCCATCCACAGTTACATTTGCAAAGGATTCTGATTTTACAAAATTAAACTTTCTTCTTCACCAAGACATGGGATAAATTTCAGCCTGGCATTTCACCTCTTTACCAAAACAGTTAAAGAGCATATTCTCACCTCCCACTGCTGCAGCCTATTAGTATGGAGTAGGAAAGACATTTTCCACTATCTGTCACACATACCTATTGAAAAGACCTTTCAAATATAAAGAGAGATTACATGAATGACTTTATAAACCTAAAATCAATTGAATAAAATATTACATCCTTTCAATAACAGTGATTTAGTCTCTGTTTAATCTGTAGGACAGCATGAATGTTTTGGAAGGGATCTCATTCTTTAATAAAGTGATTGAGATTGCTAACAATAAAATTCAAAAAGCAAAAGAAATTTATAAGCCATAAAAATCCTATTACACCGAATGCTGTTAGTGGCTATCATTGAGCAGATTTTTGATTAGAGACAATCATGAAGTTCATTCTAATCCCTCCTTTATAAACTTCACAAATTATGAGAGTGTTAACCCCCTTTTTCTTAGCTTAAGCAGAAGGCTGTTTTTCCATGGCAGTTTAAACTAATAGAAATCTAAGCTGTCATACTCTGCCTACTTCATTGTCTTGGCACTGGGGTTCACAGAGAGTGAGGAAGCTGACCCCAATGATCCACATGATGACTAACCTCACCAAAAGTTATTTTTCACTGGTCCTTGATCATCTCAGGAAGGAATCCTACAAGCACCAGTGCACCCAGGGAGCAGGGAGCATGCCTTCAGCAAAGGACAGGAGGAAGGCAGAGATCTTGCAGCCAGTACATTGTTCAGGTTAAGCACCACTGAACTGCCCCAGTT